TAAGTAGTTCATGGAAATTTATAGCACACAGGTTTATCCTTTTTTCCTTTTTTTTTTTGTTGCAGTACTGGGGATTGAACAAGGGTCTTGCACATGTTAGACAAGCACTGTACTTCTGAATTATATCTCCAGCCATGAGTTTATGATATGAATAGTATGTACCTACTATCCAACTTACAAGCCTGCATATCACTGATACCATTGCAGTTATTTGCCTCTCCCCAGTCTCATTGCCTGCTCTCTCAAAGGTATCCACTGTGTTAGTCAGCTTTTCATCACTGTAAAAAATCCTGGGTTAATCAACTTATAAAGAAAAAAGGTTTGTTTGGGCTTTCAGTTTTGCAGAYGTCAGTTCATGAACAATTGGTCCTGTTGTTTTGGGCCTGTGGTGCACATCATGGTGACAGTGCATGGTGACATGCACATCAACTCACCTCATGCCTGAGAAGCCAAAAAGAGGAAGGACAGAAGCAGCTGAGTGCCCTTCCATCTCCTTCAAGGGCACACCCACAATGACCAGAAGACTTCCCACTAGGCTCCCTCTTAAAGGGTCCACCACCTTCCAATAGTGCCATGCTGTGGACCAAGCTTTTATACCATATGGACATTTTGGGGGCTTTTAAGATCAAAGCTAAGCCAGACACAATAGTGCATGCCTGTATTCCCAGCAATTTGGGAGGCTGAGGCAGGAGGATCACAAATTCAAGGCTAGCCTGAGCAACTTAATGAGACCCTCAGCAACTTAGCAAAACCCTGTCTCAAAGTAAAAAAACAAACAAACAAAAAAACTTGGGGATGTAATATAGCTCAGTGGTAGAGCATTCAATCCCCAGTATAATGGGAGGGGGTTAAAAATATCCAAGCTATATATTACTATTCTGAATTATTATTTCCTTACTTTTTACAAATTAAGGTTTTACCAAATATCTGTGTATCTTAATCAATACATTGCTTAGTTTTGCTTGTTTTCTTAACATTTATTTGCTTATTATTTTTGTCAAATTATCCCAGAAGATGGAATKGTTATAAATTCTTTCTTTATTTGAGCTAGATATATGTGAATGTATGTCAGACTTTGGGAGAAAGCAGAATTTGAGAGGAATATCTATACCTGGTTAAGTAGTCTGTACATCTATAACCAGTCTATATATCTATAATAAATGGAGGCCAGAAGCTTACTGAGAAAATAAGACTAATGCTATCATTTAGTTGATCTGATGGTACCTGGTTTGTTGATATGTTGTAAGTTGGGTAAATATCAATTATAAATAACCAGSTCAGGCACACACATGCCATATTTATCTCATGGTTCGTGCTTTATAAATAGCATTGACATTGTAAGTACTGATGGTGTTTATGACACTAATGGCTCTACTAGGTAATGATTACGTGTGTGGACTCTGAGACAGATTTCTTAGGTCTGAGTCAGTGCTCCATAATTTAATTGCTGCTTGCCTTTGAGCCTTGAATTCTTTGTGAGTATATGGGAATGATAATTGTACCTACCTAGTAGGGTCACAGGCAATAACTTTTAGCTATGATTATGAATGTTGCAGATGTCATCTGACATAAGAGTGTAAATAAATGTGACATGAAGCATATAATCTAGTCCAAAGAAATGGTGTTAGACTAAGCTGGTTTCTTTTTGCTTGGTCACCRGACCTCAAGAAAGACACTTCAGCTTTTGGAGCTTTAGTTTCTTCCTCTGTAAAATGATATTTACCGTATGTGTTTATTATGAAGATAAGAATATATGAGTGTCTGTTTGGAGGGTGATATACAGTACATGGTCAGCAATAATACTGTTATTGATCTTAGGGTTCATGGGTTTGCTTAATAGCTCGGTGATATACCTGGGTCCTCAGTATTAAAAGTTAACACTGAGCTGCTGTTTGCTTTAAATAGGACTCAGAATTTTAATATGATTCTAGGGGGTTGGATCAATCTGGAACTAAATTAAGTTGGTTGATTAACATTTGGAGTAGTTATTATAAATGTAAGCCTCTGAAATTGTTTTATATGGTATTTTTGCTTAGTAAGAACAAAATTTGTAATAGGCTATCTTTTATAGAGCAGTTATAGATCATGAGCAAAATTGAATGGAAAGTACAGAGTGTTCCCTGTCCCACACCAGCACAGCTTCCCTCCTATGGACATTCCCCACCAGAATGATACAAAGTGGTGCATTTGTTACAGTCAATGCACCAACACTGAAATGTCATTATCACCCAAGGTCCACCCTTTGCATCTGGGCTCACTTTTGGTTGTACAGTCAGTGGATTAGGACAAATGTATAATGGCACATATACACCACTATAGAACGACACAGAATAGTTTCACTGCTTAAACATCCTCTGTGTTCCAACTATTCATCCCTCCTTCCCTTTCAACCCTTGGCAGCCACTGATCCTTTTACCGTCTCTTGTAGTTTTGCCTTTTCTGTGTTAAAAGACAAAATTATGACAACAAATTTAAAGGTTCAGTGAGCTTTTATTCACAATTTATGAACCAGAACCACCTCCATTCTCTAAAAAGGAATGAGACCTCCCACTCATTGGCGGAACAGTAGGAGGTTTTAAGATGGCAACAGGCAAACAGATAATAGAAAAAAAAACATGTTGGGTTCCTTTTCTTTTAAGAGTTAAAGCAGAGAGGACTTCTTTATTACGCTAAATTCCATGAACCGGAATACCCTGTTTTTAGAAAAACCTGGTCTGTTTGGGGATCTACCTGCTTCCTTAAAGTTTGTTTGATTATATGGCATTTCACATGGAGTGATGCCATTTTGGTCTGGTCTGGTCTGGTCTGGTCTGTTGGGGCCTAGGGCAGGAGCTCAGTCCCAGACAGATTTTTGTTGAAAAAATGTCATGTATTTGCAATTATACAGTATGAAGATTTCTCAGATTGGGTTCTCTCAAGTCAGAGAAACATTTTAACCTGTAAATTCTGTTTGTATATGAAAAAATGTACCTAGAAAGATTGCCCTCTTGAACTGAACATGCAGCTTCCTCCGAGGACCTGGAAGACAGGATGGGAACTCGAGGTTTGCCAGCCAGATGGCCAGCCAGCCCTGGGCCTGTTGTGTTGAGGTGTTGTGGCAGAGTTGCTCTCACACTTTCCTTCTCATGATATTTTTAACTGTATTGGACTAAGTCCACAATGTAGAGTTATAAATAGGGGTCTGGTAGAGACACATGGCTAAGTTAACAATTAAGTGCCTCTTCAAACCTGTGTCCTTAAATATTTKTTCCATGTTTATTCATTGGAGAGGCTGTGTCCTGTGTGTGGGGTGAGAAGGAAAAGAGGCAAGTTAATTGGGCCTGACACRCACCTTTTAACAGAATAAAACCTTACCATTGACCAGTACTTAAAAATCAGTTTGATAGCCAGGTGCGGTGGCAGAGGCCTGTAATCCCTGTGATTCGGGGGGCTGAGGCAGGAGGATCTCAAGTTCAAAGCCAGGCTCAGCAACTTAGTGAGGTCCTAAGCAACTTAGTGAGATCCTACCTCAAAAAAAAAAAAAAAAAAGATAAATAAATAAATAAATAAAWAGGCTCAATGGTTGAGTGCCCCTGGATTTAATCCCTGCTACCAAAAAAAAAAAAAAAAAAAAAAATTGGATAATTACCAGTTGTTATTGAATCTCATTATTTACTCTCTCTCCTGTAGGTTATGGAAACATTTCTTCCATTTAGGAGTAGTTTGTGGCCGACTGCTCCTATCTTGATCTTGATACACACACACTCAGTGATGCTCTAGTGCCTCTGACAGATTGGTGTCCAGGACAGCTGTCAGCTGGCCACTGCTACCCTAACYGGGTCATTTAGCTCTTACCTTTGTGGAACCTAGACAAAGTTGGTTTTTCCTCCATCTGGAGTTGTATTCCCTAAGTTAATAACCCCTGACCCTGTCCGTGATGACAGGGGGAGTCCCTCTGTGCCCACACAGCTTTCTTCTCTGCAGCCACAGTGATGTTCACAGACAAACTGAAAAGCTTCACTTACTACTGTCTGTTCTGCTGTCTGCCTGGGAGCCCTTTTATGAAAGGTCAAAGGTGGAAAATGGGTAGGGAAAGAATGATATGRAGATTATGAAAGGGAGGACTTGGGGCTAGATACTCAACTGAATCAAGATATATGAACACTTAGGAGGCTAGTCTTGGGCAAGGGATGGCCACTGTTTTCAGTAAAGTGCTAGATAATAAACATTTTTTTTTTTTTACTTTGGAGGCCATATGGTCTCTGACACCTCTACTTGGCTCTGCCACTGCAGCATGAARCAATCGTATATAATATGTAAAGGCATAGGCATGTCTGAGTGCCAATGAAACTTTCATTTGTGGACACATGTCCATTCTTAGCTTGCTGGCCACACAAAAACAGGCAGGGAGCTGCATTTGGCTGGTGGGTAGCTGTTTGCATATCTGATCAAGGATAATATAGGAAACCTTCTGTTTGTAAGTTTATCTATATGTGTGCTGTGTGTTCTCTATAGACATCATTTGTGTGCCACTTAGTAAAGTTAATGAAAAAATTAACTTTGGAAATAATAAAGGAATCCAAAGAATGGGTGTTTTACTGACTTTTGGGCAGTACAAGAGAAGTGTGCCCCCTGGAGGCCAGCTGAGGTAGTGGCAGCAACAAGCAAAGTGAGAACTAAAAGGCCTTGAGAGTGCTGGCTATTATCAAAATTGTCTTTCAGTCTCTACCAATACTTTAGAGGTTTTGTCAGATTTTAACAAGTGCTACCAATCTTAGTCTCCACACGTTCTTTGATAATTAAACCATATTATTTATATCTCATAACGTTTCCATTTTCAGGTGTTTTGTTGGAATTTTTTTCCTCCACATTTTTCATTGTTAATGATCTGACCTTTTTGTGCTCTTAGGCCAAGAGCTCATTAATTTTTAGTTGATCAATAACTGTTGTTAGAAATTTGTTTTATTGATTTATTTTTATATACTTAGCTGTCTACAATAATTTTTATCTTTTGTCAACAGGATCCTTACTATGGATTTAATGACCTTAACTACAGATGGATTTCCTTGGATAACTGGATTTATAGCAAGGAATTTAAAATTCCTTTTGATAGCAGGTACATACACAATAGTTATTTGTACATATACTATAGTTATTATTTGAGCTTTCTTTTTACCTTTGCTTAGGTTGCATATCAGAGAATTAAGTCAGATTAAAGCCTTTTACTATAATAAGAGTGAATGTGTGATTAATGTTTTGTGTTTGCCACTGATAATTAATCATGAAATCATGTTTTATGGAATCATTTGTCCAATGATTATAATGAAGTTACTTAGACCTCGTCAGTTCTCCTATGTAAATTTCCTCTTCTCCACCCTCCCCCCAGTAACCAATAAGTGTATGCATGCATTTTATAGCATTGTTAAATAGAATCAGAGATACTTGATTTGTTCTGTGTGGTGTTGACCAGCTACTGAGACTATGACCTTGGACTTATGCCATGTTATGAGGCCATGAAGAGAACTACAGTTACTATTTTCAGTAATGCTCTGTGTTATTATAAGCTTATATTTCTATATAAAGAAGAATGTAATTTAAGTATATACACCACCATTATTATTAAATTTTAAAAATTTTCTGTCCCCTTTACATGAAACTTTTTGGTAATTATTTTCTAGTCTCTTAAAAAACTAATTCAGAACTTAGTATCATGCTTAGTATCATGGAGTTAACTAGGCTCCAGGCTTTTATTTTCAAATGACTTATAACACTTCCCGAGCAGTCTTATTTCACTTTGAGCTCTACATATCCAAAATCCAACCAACTGATATTCCCTCTTAAAAAATTTTTTTATGTCCTAATGGCTTTGTCATTTCTCTTAATGAAGCACCGTTTTCCAGTCAGAGCCTAAGTTGTTTTTGGCTCTACTACATAGTAGGATAGATTGTTTCCTGTGTATTTGGCTTGAATACTAGCCAGCTTTCATACTCCTTAAGTTCAGAGAATGTTCCTGCTTAGCATAGTACTGGGCACATAGCATTCACTTAGAGATACAAGTTAGTAGCTAATACATTCTCTTAGATAGTGTCAGTGAATGTAATAGTTTGTGGAAATGTTTTGTGTCTATTATTTAACTTGATTCTCGTAAGAACTTTGTGAAGTAACTGAAAGAAAAAACGATGCAGTTGGAAATTATAAGTTGTGCTGGATTTTATGGTGATTGATAGATATATTATAGAGAATGATGAGCTGGATTACTCAAAAAATAGGAACAAATATTAAACAAAAATAGCAATAAATATTAAACAAATATTCCTGAAACTTCTCTTGAAAATTACTGTTTAAGAATGTACATTTTCTGTGAAATATTTCTTTAGTTCTTAATTACAAAAAGACTTTTGTAAGTTAATGTTTATGCATCTTGCTTTCAAAATGTTTTCTTTTCCTAGCAAATGGCAAATGATAAATTTGATATTTGAGGGAGTTGACACAGTTTCAGAAATCCTGTTGAATAATGTCACTATTGGGAAAACTGACAACATGTTCACCAAATACGTAAGTACATAATRATATCARGTTAAAAAAAATTCATGTGTGTTTGTGTTGTTTTGTGGATAGAGAATGGCAAGTGCATAACTGGCCATGAGACAAATGTAAGCTTTTTGTAACAAGGAGTAAGTTACTGTGTTTCTCAGTTGCCCCATTTGTAGAGTCATGAAAACACTACAGATCATGGGGATTTAATAAGCAAATTATGAGATGGTTGGCAAGTTCTTGGTATCTAGGAAGTATGGGACAGTGCTATTCTCTTCTCCGTTGTCCGGTGAACCCAGAGTTGCACGGGAGAGGACAACTGACAAATTATTTTCAAAAGAAAATGTTTTCTTTCTGGAATAGAGTAAGAGATTGTATCCTGATCTCCTTTTCCTTTCAAGGGTAGGCATTTCAAATRTATATATAACTATGACTTAGAAATACATGCTATGCATTCCAGAGAGTTGGGTTGTCGTGATGTGTCTAGGAATCCTTGGCAGTTCAAGGCCACGTGTAAATAACTAGAGCAGACATTCCAGGGCTAAAGATACTTTCTGTTCTATTTCCCTGGATCATCATCTGTCAGTAAAAATAGAAGGAGAAACCTAGAAATCTGTGTTTGGGTGGGGGAATATGCTTAGTTGTAATTAAAAGTGGGTAACTAAGTTCTGCTATTTTGGAGAGCTGCTTTTCATCGGCAGGGTCACTCTAGATTTGAATATTTTATACATTTTTCATGTATTCTACCTTTATCTAAAATTTTACACACAAGAATTCTTGCACATCATGGGGTTGTCTGTTCTTCCCCTTTAATACAGATCTTTGATATTACCAATGTGATCAGAGACGTGAACTCCATTGAGCTGCGTTTCCAGTCAGCAGTGTTGTACGCCACAAAACAGAGCAAAGCTTACACCAGCCGTGAGGTGCCTCCCAACTGCCCTCCACGTGTGCAGAAGGGTGAATGCCATGTCAACTTCATTCGAAAGGTAATGATCTGTTCAAGGGTTAGGTTTTTAGCTTTGAGGGTGGGGTGTGCCCACTTATGAAATGCTGCTTGCTTGAAACTCCAGTGGCCTTTCAAAAGTTGAAAGTTTCTTTCCTGATCCCACTGTGGGTCTTGAAAATTTGAAATAAGAAAGAGTATCTGGATTTTCATGGGGAATCTTTATCTTCCCAGGTTTTCTTTCTGACCACATCAGAACTTAGGGAACACCAGATAAAGAAGAAAATGATGAGGCTGATAGTGTAACTTTAAAAATTATTTTTTAAAATTTGGATTTGTCAGACTTTTCACCAAATATGAAAATTTATTAGTGATTCTGGGGACTGGTAACCTTCAGCAAATATAGTATATATTTTAAAAATATATGTAGAATGTATGCTGACATGTTCTCATATTTTACTACTAGTTTCTCATAAAATCTAATAAAAAGATAACAAAAGCCACCAAAGTAATTATTTTTGTTTGAGTCTTCTTCCAGTTTAGAGGACTTGAATTTTGTTTATTTATTTTAAATTTTTTATTTGTTTTAATTAGTTATACATGACAGTAAAATGCATTTATACACTTTGATATATCATACATAGATGGGATGTGATTTCTCATTTTTTTGAGTGTAACATGTTGCAGAATCATATTGGTCATGCAATCAYATATACACATACAATAATAATGTCTGTTTCATTCTACTGTCTTTCCTATCCCCACATCTGCTCCCCTTCCCTCCCATCACTTCCTTCTACCTAATCTAAGGTAAAGCTATTCTTCTCTAGTGCCCCCCCGTACCCCGCCGTCTTATTGTGAATTAGCATCTGCATATTAGAGAAATCATTCAGACTTTGGTTTTTGTGGGATTGGCGTATTTCGCTTAGCATAATATCTTCCAACTCCAGTAATTTACTGGCAAATAATTTTACTCTTATTTAAAGCTGATAATAGTTCATTGAGTATATATACCACATTTTCTTTATCCATTCATCTATTGAGGGACACCTAAGTTGGTTCCACAGTCTAGCTATTGTAAATTGAGCTGCTATAAACATTGATGTGGCTGCATCACCATAGCATGCTGAGTTTAAGTCCTTTGGGTATAAACCAAGGAGTGGGGTACTGGATCAAATGGTGGTTCCATTCTCAGTTTTCTGAGGAATCTCCATACTGCTTTCCATAGTGGTTGTACCAATGTGCAGTCCCATCAGCAATGTATGAGTGTATATTTTCACCACATCCTCACCAATATTTATTGTTGTCTCTTGATGATTACCATTCTGACAGGAGTGAGATAAAATCTTAGATTAGTTTTGATTTGCATTTCTCTAATTGCTAGAGAAGTTGAACACTTCTTTATATATTTGTTGACCAATTGTACTTCTTCTTCTGTGGAGTGTCTTTTCAGTTCCTTAGCCCGTTTATTGATTGGGTTATTTGTTTTATTGGTGTTAAGTTTTTTKAGTTCTTTATATATCCTAGAGATTAATGCTTTATCAGAGWTGCATGTGGTGAAGATTTTTTCCCAATCTATAGGCTCTCTTTTAACATTATTAATTGTTTCCTTTGCTGAGAAGAAGCTTTTAAATTTGAATCCATCCCATTTATTAATTCTTGATTTTATTTCTTGTGCTTTAGGAGTCTTGTTAAGGAAGTCAGATCCTAGGCTGACATAGTATAGATTTGGGCCTATTTTTTCTTCTATTAGGTGCAGGGTCTCCATTCTAGTGCCTGAGTCTTTGATCCACTTTGAGTTGATTTTTGTGCAGGTTTTGCTACATATGGATTTTCAGTTTTGCCAGCCCTATTTGTTGAATAGGCTATCTTTTCTCCAGTAAATATTTTTGGCACCCTTGTCTAATATGAGATAACTGTATTTATGTGGGTTTGTTTCTGCATCCTCTATTCTGTACCATTGGTCTACAAGTCTATTTTGGTGCCAATACCATGCCATTTTTGTTATTATTGCTCTGTAGTATGTTTAAGGTCTGGTATAGTGATTCCACCTGCTTCACTCTTCTTGCTAAGGATTGCTTTAGCTATTCTAGGTTTCTTATTTTTCCAGATGAATTTCATGACTGCTTTTTTTATTTCTATGAGGAATGTCAATGGAACTTTGATTGGAATTGCATTAAATTTGTGTAGTGCTTTTGATWGTATGGTCATTTTAACAATATTAATTCTGCCTATCCAGGAACAAGGGAGATCTTTCCATCTTCTAAGGTCTTCTTTAATTTCTTTCTTTAGTATTCTGTAGTTTTTGTCATAGATGTCTTTCACCTCCTTCATTAAGTTGATTCCCAAGGTTTTTTTCTTTTCTTTTTTGTTTTTTTGAGGCTATTATAAATGGTGTAGTTTTTCTCATTTCCCTTTYAGAGGATTTGTCACTGATATACAGAAATGCCTTTGATTCATGGCTATTGATTTCATATCCTGCTACTTTGCTGAATTCATTTATTAGTTCTAGAAATTTTCTATAGAGTGTTTTGGGTCTTCTAGGGATAGAATCATATTGTCAGTAAATAGTGCTAATTTGAGTTCTTCTTTTCCTGTCCGTATCTCTTTAATTTCTTTCATCTCTCTAATTGCTCTGTCTAGAGTACTTATTCACTAGTACTTCTTAAATAGAAGTGGTGAATAAGTACTAGTCTTGTTCCCATTTTTAGAGGGAATGCTTTAAATTTTTCTCCATTTAGAATGATGTTGGCCTGGGGCTTAGCATAGATAGCTTTTACAATGTTGAGATATGTTCCTGCTATCCCTAGTTTTTCTAGTGTTTTGAACATGAAGGGATACTGTATTTTGTTGAATGCTTTTTCTTCATCTATTGAGATGATCATATGGTTCTTATCTTTAAGTCTATTGATGTGATTAATTACATTTATTGATTTCCATATATTGAACCAACCTTGCACCCCTGGGAGGGTGCGCTATCTTTTTGATATGTTTTTGTATTCAATCAGCCAGAATTTTATTGAGAATTTTTGCATCTATATTCATTAAAGATATTGGTCTGAGGTTTTCTTTCTTTGATATGTCTTTGCCTGGTTTTGGAATCAGGATGACATTGGCCTCATAGAGTGAGTTTGGAAGTGCCCCTTCTTTTTCTATTTCACGAAATAATTTGAAGAGTGTTGGTATTAGTTCTTCTTTAAAGGTCTTGTAGAACTCAGCTGTGTATTCATCTGGTCCTGGGCTTTTCTTGGTTGGTAGGCTTCTGATGGATGGTGTCTTCTATTTCATTGCTTCAAATTGATCTGTTTAAATCATGTATATCATTCTGATTCAGTTTGGGCACATCACATGCTTATAGAAATTTGTTGATGCCTTCGATATTTTCTATTTTATTGGAGTACAAATTTTCAAAATAATCTAATTATCTTCTGCATTTCTGTAGTGTCTGTTGTGATATTTCCATTTTCGTTACGTATTTAAGTAATTTGAGTTTTCTCTCTCCTTCTCTTTGTTGGCATGGCTAATAGTTTATCAATTTTATTTATGTTTTCGAAGAACCAACTTTTAGTTTTGTCAGTTTTTCCAATTGTTTCTTTTGTTTCAATTTCATTGATTTCAGCTCTGATATTAATTATTTCCTGTCTTCTGCTTTGGGAATTGATTTCTTCTTCTTTTTCTAGGGCTTTAAGATATAGTGTTAGGTCATTTTTTTGGTTGACTTTTTATTCTTTTAATGAATGCACTCAATGCAATAAACTTTTCTCTTATTACTGCTTTCATAGTGTCACAGAGACTTTGATACATTGTATCAATGTTCTCATTTACCTCTAAGAATTTTTTTATTTCATCCTTGATTTCTTCTACTATCCATTCATCATTCAGTTGTGTATTATTTAGTCTCCATTTGTTATAGTATTTTCTATTTTTTATTTTGTCATTGATTTTTAATTTCATTCCATTTTGATCTGATAGAACACAAGGTATTATCTCTGTTTTTTTGTATTTACTAAGAATTGCTTTGTGGCATAAGAAATGGCCTATTTTAGAGAAGGAGTCCTGTGCTGCTGAGAAGAAAGTGTATTCACTCATTGATGGATGAAATATTCTATATATTTCTGTTAAATCTAAATTATTGATTGCATTATTTAGTTCTATAGTTTCCTTATTTAGTTTTTTCTTTTTTTAATTAATTTTTTATTTGTTTTAATTAGTTATACATGACAGGAGAATGCACTTATATACTTTGATATACATAGATGGAATACAATTTCTCATTTTTCTGAGTATACATATTGTAGAATCATATTGGTCATACAGTCAATATATACATAAAGAGGCATACAAGACCCTAAATGTAATAATAAATTATAAATAATAATAAAGTAATAATGTCTGTTTCATTCTATTATCTTTCTTATCCCCACATCCTCTGCCTTCCTATGCTTTTACTTCCCTCTACCTAATTTAAGGTAACACTATTCTTTTTTGTTTTGCATTACAATTCTTTTTTTAAAAAATTATTTTATTATTTTTTTAAATACACGACCACAGTGGAATGCATTAAATCCTTACTACACATATAGAGCACAATTTTTCGTATCTCTGTATATAAAGTATGTTCACGTCTACTTATGCCATTATACATATACTTTTTTTTTTTGCATTACAATTCTTAATACACATATATACCATATATATACCATAATTTTTGTTTTTGTTTGGAAGATCTGTCCAGTAGTCAGAGTGGTATGTTAAAGTCACCCAGTATTATTGTTCTATTTGACTCTTGAAATTGAGAAGGTTTTTTTTTATGTATATAGATGCTCCATTGTTTGGGGCATAAGTATTTATGATTGTTACATCCTGCTTATATATACTTCCCTTAAGAAGTATGAAATGTCTTTATCACTTCTGATTAACTTTGGTTAAAGTCTACTTTATCTGAAATGAGAATGGAAACCCCTTCTTGTTTACACAATCCATGTGAGTGATAAGTTTTTTCCCATCCTTTGATCTTCAGCCTGTGGATGTCTTTGCCCATGA